ATTCGATCTCGTCTCTCTGATTCCTCAATTGGAGAACCGTGTTCAAATTCCAGGCAAATTAAATTTCACAATTAGCCTCTTGAAGCACGATGAGTCAAAATCATGTATATCTCTCCACGAATCCAACAAACTTCACCAATAATTTGTACTACTGGCAACATATATATATATATATATATATATATATATATGAAATGGACAACTTAGCACAATTATTTTAAGACATTTTTATGTTTATTCATTCTTTTTATAGATACAAATTATTTAATTAAATGCTCTGTTACAAACGGTGCATTTACTTAAATATTTGTATCTATAAAAAAAGAACGTATAGACATAAAAATGTTTGAAATAATTGTCGGACTTTGTCGATTTCATAATGTGTGACGTCATTTGTTTACATTTGGATATGCATCGACCAGATATGAATGCATGAGAGAAAATCATGGGAAATTGTAGTTTAAAAAGAGTAAAATCGACCTTGCTAACAGAAACGCTCCTCTGTGCCTAAATCGGTTAAGGCACGTCAGGCTATATGATGGTTCCGTATAGGTTACAGGTTCGATTCCTGTCGGAGAACGCATATTTTCTATGAAAATTTCTCGGACATTTAGTCCGGTAAATGTGGTTAATACTGTTTATTATAAAAGGAGCATTTACTTAAATATTTGTATCTATAAAAAAGAATGTATAAAAATGTCTTAAAATATATATATATATATATATATATATATATATATATATATATATATATATATATCACCAACCAGTTCATCTTGATGATCCCATGTGCAAACCTAGGTACGTAGTACCTGGCTCATTAGGATTTATTTATTTTATCTTTGCTCTACTTAGCGTATTGAGCACTCTTCGTTTTAACTTATTACTCGCTGTTTCTTTTCTTTGTACCACAAATTTAAGGTACTGCAAGATTTCTTTCGCTCTGTTGAGAAGTTTCTGGTTCTTTTTTCCCAGATGTTTTCTCAAATGACAATTTGATTGCAAATTGTGCTATCCAGGTTTTTTCACCCGCCAATTTTCTGGTTTACATTTTTACAGATTTATATATATATATAAATATACAATTTAGATGAATATATTTAATTTAAAATGCCTAAAAATCAGGTTTTTTTCAATGGCCGAAATTAATTACCGGCAAATTTTAATATATATATATATATATATATATATATATATATATATATATATATAACAATAAAAATATATATATATATATATATATTAATATTCTTTCGTTTTTTTTTAATTTCACTTTCCCTGTATTTTGAATATATTTATCGGGAAAATGCCTTCTGGAAAAAGCTAGAAAGGAATGTCTTGCTGGAGAAAATTTGTTTTTTTATCTTTTTAACATGAATCTTTTAACATTTTTCTTGTGTTGGTCAAACAGTCTCTTTTAAGTTGTTATTTGAATAAGAGCTGGATGGATCTAGCTTCTCAAATGTGGTATGTGTCTCTGTTTAGTATTTGTGTGTTTATTATTTTGTTTCTTAGGGCGTGAGTGGTATCATATATATATATATATATATATATATATATTTTATCATTTTGGCTCATTATATATATGATGTGTAAAGTGTGTATATTCGTTCGTGGGTGTGTGTATAAGTATTATACAATTTGTTGAAAATTAGTACTATCTTCAGACAAATTATGGTTTTAGGGCTGGATGTTGTGTTTTTAGACGTTGTATCCACTTATGCTATCTGCTCTGAACTTTTCTATTCTATCAATTATAGTGAATTTTGCATGGGTTTTGAAATCGTGTTTTTCCAGGCGGAAATGTTGTTCTACAGGTAATAATTTTTCATGGGGAGTCGACTTAATTCGATTGCCATAATTATTAATTCTCTAGTGAAATAGCCATTCAGATTTTCCTGCATATTGTTTCTGGCATAGTGCGCATTCTAGGAGGTAAATTATGTTATGACTTCTAAATTTAGAATTGTAGTAGATTTTGAAAGTAGATTTAATGATTGAGCTAGTGAATGAATTCGTGTGTTTAACATGGTTGCAACATAAACTTCTTTTGTTGTTACATGGTTGGGAATATATATATATATATATATATATATATATATATATATATATATATATATATATATAAATTTTTGAAAGATTTTACTATCAATTACTATGGTTGCAACTCGTAAAGAAAGCGATTGTCGCCGGTGAGAAATTAAGAACACTTTCTATAACAGAATAAACGTATTATATGCTAGATAAATAAATAGATTTTCCTAGACTTACAATTGACTGAATCAAGGAAACTAATGTAGGAGTGTCGTATTGCACTTCCAAGTGAGATCGTCCTGTCTGTGTTAAAAGCCAGCATACAATCTCACGACTTTTATGTGGGTTCAATCATTGGCTTTGATAAGTACACCACTAGCTTATTACTACTCCTGTTTCTATCTATCTATCTATCTATCTATCTATCTATCTATCTATCTATCCATCTATCTATCTATCTATCTGACTATATATATATATATATATATATATATATATATATATATATATATAAGAAAATGAAAAATGTGAAAATAAGAAAAACTTATGAAAATAAGTGGATACAACGTCTAAAAACACAATATACATAAAATTATGGCTAAACCATAAATTTAACAATATAGATAGTACTAATAAATAACTCAACAAATCAAAACGGAATCTTTTATCTCTCAATGGTTTAAAGATGTTTTGGTTACCACCACTTCCTAATTAGGAAGCTGTGGAGAGTCTAATACATTTCCTTTATTTCTAATTACTGCACGCAGTTATCCAAAACAACACACACACACTCACATATACATATATATATATATATATATATATATATATATATATATATATATATATATATATATATATATACTATACTATTAAGGTGTGCTATATTTATGGGATAACGTGCTCAATGTCAGATATATATATATTTATATATATATATATATATATATATATAAAACTGAACATTGAAGTCAACACTCAAAGGCGACAGGCTGCTTCATGTTAGGTGTAATTGATAGTTGTTGACTTAATTATTCACTTATATATATATATATATATATATATATATATATATATATATATATATATATATATATATATACATGAATCATTCATACAAAAAAAGATTAGTGAAGTTAATGATATAAATGGCGAGAATACATCTTTGCAAACAAATTTATTAAAATTACATTTAGCAAAGAACCTCTAGATGATTATATATATATATATATATATATATATATATATATATATATATATATATATATATATATATATATATTGTCTGTGTGTTAACTCTGTGTTTCTTCAATAATGTAAAGTCGAAGCAAATTTGATTTATCAATCTGAACATATAAATATTTCAAACGAAGTTAAGCAACATTGAGCCTGGTCGGTACCTAGATGAGTAACCACTTAGCAATACCAGGTGTCGTGGTCTTGTATGTCGAGGTGGTATAACAGATAACGCCTAGCAACTGATAATCGGAGAGCTTAGTTCGAATTCCAGTCAAGTTCGTTATATTCACTTATATACAAATAACCTTAGGAAAAGTATGACTCCAGATCTTCTCTATAGGTTAATTAGTGGCGCTTTTTATCAGTAAAGCAATATCATCTTCAGAAAATGTTTACAATATAAAAATATATTCTGGGTGATAAGTCGTGAAAAACAAATCAATCAGTTCTAATAGCTTACTTTTACAAAACAAATGAATGAAGGTGAAGTCAGGTTTGCCGTTGTAACTATATTTCTTTACCTAAACTATTTCAAACAATATAGCCTACGCCCACGTTCTTGAAGGAAGCAGAAGCACCAAACAAGAGAATCCACAAAATAAGTTCTGTATTACTTATGAGTAATATGAGTAATAAATAAAATGAATGCAATGTCTGTTTCAGCCAGAAATGTGTCCTGTGATTTGATTCATGTCTAGTGGTCAGAGTGCGCAGTATTAGTAGAATTAGTAGAATGAATAACATGAATCGCCAGTGACTGCTGTATCGCAGTGGCTAATAAACTTCACTCACAGTCAATTAATTAGTATAGACATCACGCGGTAGGACAATAATTAATAAGCTCTGTATTAAGGCCAGTTTATCGATCACAGTTGGATGATCAACTAGTGTGGCCTTGTGTTAGACTAGTGTAAGATTAACAAATATTCATAGCAATATTTACAGCTTTTAAAATATAATCAACTATTTACACTATTTACATTGTATGGACTTTTGTCCTCATCTTTATTGACATATTTACCTTCAACATCTCTCTCTATTTCTCAGATGAGATATTGTAACTATTTACACTATTTACATCGTTTGGACTGTTGTCCTCATCTTTATTGCCATATTCACCTTCAACATCTGTCTCTATTTCTTAGATGAGGTATTCTATCTATTTACATTGTTTGCATTGTTGCATAACATCCCTTTAGATGTATTTAGCTTAGGTTAGTGCCACACGCTCTTTAACAAAGAAGGAAAAAAGGCATAACTTTCCTGGAGCTCTATTTAACTTAATTTAGTGCAACACGCTCCTTTAAAAAGGAAGAAATAAAGCATATCCTCTTATTAAGTGACTCTCTGGCCTATTTGAGTATGAATAGTAGTAAAAATATGGTTAGTCGAGAACTTTTCTGACCATTGTGTAACTCCCATATATATATATATATATATATATATATATATATATATATATATATATATATATATACAGTAGCGTCCAAAAACTAAGGACTAAATTTTAAAACTTAATATATGTTAGAAATAACAATTGTGAAAAGCTGAAATTTTGACAACTGGTAGTCGTTATCATCCATAATAACATACTAAAATTTGAATCATTTGCAAAAGATAGAAAAAGAATTATAACAATTATTTATTTATTTTCAAAATAGGATCGTCCAAAAGTAAGGGACAAAATTGAGAAACGCTACTGTATATATATATATATATATATATAT